TTTGGGCCCCCCCCCCCCACCCAGGTCAGGGCCGTACCCTTGGCAGCCGTGATTGTTGAAGTTCTGAGCGCAGTCCACCAGCTGCTGCTCGGCCTGGAGGGAGGAATGCACGCCCGGTGAGCTGGGCGCCTCCAGCGCCGTGCCTCCCGAGCCGACCCACGCCTGCGGCCCCGCCCACCCAGACCCAAGGTCACCAGATGGTAAGCTCCCGGAGGGCAAGGGCTGTCTCCCCAGCAGCCGGCCCCGTCGGGGAGAAGCTCAGCGACGGCCTGGCAGCCAAGCGGGCAGGTGAGAGGGAGTGGGGGGCCCTGGCGGTGTGCACGTACGTGCGGCTCCTGGGGTCCCGTGGTGGCAGATAGGAGGGGGAGGGGACAGGCCTTCCCTCAAGCCGGTTCCTGGTGGCCTGCACCAGCCTTGCCGGCCCCTCTTCCCCACACAGGAGGCAGCGGCTGGGCAGCACCCCTCACTCCGGGGGCTCAGGGGTCCCGGCTCGCTCTTCCCTGCCTGAAGGTGACCAGCTTGAGAGGGGGCACAGCTCCTACAGGGCTGCCTCCCAGGCAGGCTCTGCTCTCGGAAGGCCCCAGGTGGCCACACCGAGGAACACCCCGACCCACCCAAGGATGAGCCCTTGGGCCATCTCTTCAACAAGCCTCATTCCTTCTGAAGTGTCAGCTGAGGTCTGCACGTCCGTAAGGCTGGGACACCTGAAGTCCAACTGAAATGGCACTGTCAGCTAAAGCCACAAAGAAGCCTGACGGCCCAGGTCTGGCCCTCCGAATCAGGCCTTGGAGCGAAGCTGTGACCCCTCTCCCGCATCCCTCCCCCAGCAGCACAGCCGATCGCTCACCAGAGAGGGCAGCCTCCCAGTTGCTATGGCAACAGCAGACTCCAGGGCCCCGGTGGTGGAGAAGGTCCAGCAACTGCCGCAGCTGCCCTAGAGGCCAAGGGGAGGCGGAGGGAGGTCAGGGACCAGGACCCCTCGGGCTCCCGTGACTTCGGCTGCCAAAGCCCTGGCCCACAACGTCCACTCTGACCCTCACGAGGCCCGCGAGGCGGGCATCCTTCTCCGCGTGTTGCAGATGAGGAGGTCGAGGCTCGCACAGGGGAAGCAGGAGCAGCCACCACTGCCGAGAGCCCGTGCACTCCCGATCCTGGCCTCCCACTACCAATCCCCACCGGCCTACACGGCCAGAGCCCTCCCTCCCGACCCCATTCTGTGCTCTTCTGTTCTTCGGAAGCTTTTTTTGGCAGGCGGGATCTTAGTTCCTCGACCAGGGATGGAACCCATGCCCCGGCAGTGGAAGCACAGAGTCTTAACCGCTCGACCGCCAGGGAAGTCCCTCTACTTCTGAATCTTATGCTGGCTCCTCTTCTTCCCACTGTCTTCCAACAGAAGGACTCGCCAGAGTCCTGTTTCTAGAAGCTTCTCTCTCACCTTTCCACCTCCAATCTCACCCACAGCCCCAACTGTTAAACTGACAACTCCCCAAACGCTCAGCCCTCACCTCCACCCAGGCCCAGACACCCTGTCTCCCAGATGATCCCACCCGTATATGCCCCAAACCCCTCAGACTCTGCGTGTCCTGCCCCATCCGTCCATCTCCCCGTCCTCTGCCACAGTCACTGCCACTGCCCAGCCACCTTCCTCCCGGCACCTCCCGAGGGCTCAGAGTCGGGCGCTGAAGCCTGCCAGCCTGGTTCAAACCATGGCTCTGCCCCACACCCACCGTGCAACCTGGGCGAGCTGCTGCCCCCTCTGACCCTCGGTCTCATCATTTGTAACGTGGGAACAGCCATGCTTGCCTCACAGGGCTGTTTGTCAGAGGGGTAGATGAGATCCTGCCCGTCGTGCAGTTACCCCACGGGCTCCGTAATATTAGCTGCTGTTTGTGTTTTTCTCTCAGCCGCATCTTGGTCTCTGTTCTGCCCCTCGCTGGTTCAGTCTTCCATATTTTACTTCTGAAATGTCTCCTAAGATTCCCTTCCTCACTGTCCTTGTCGAGTCCTCACTGCTTGTCTCCCTGGAAAGAGCCTTCACCGTACCCCGGGCCCCAGTTCTTCCTCTCAAAGCCTTCCCTCGGCAGGGAGGGAGGGCCTGGTCAGACCGTCTCTGGCTGGTCAGAGGCTGGGCTTGGCCACCACTGCAGGAGGCAGGGCAGGGCCGAGTGGCCAGCACTGGCCTTGAGCAGAGACCTGGATGGAAGGGCCCTCTGTCATCTGCTTGCCTTGTACCTTCAGCGCTTCCTCCTCTGTAAATTGAGAAACCCTCAAGGCTGCTGAGCTAACGTCAGATCCGGTCACCGTATCTGTAACCGCATGGTGTCTACAGCGAGAGACCACACACATCCATGAGGGTAATCGCCTTGTTCTGGCCCCTCCGCCCTGGGGCTCCGTCCTGCCCGAGGGTCAGTTAAGACAAGGACCCAGAACGTTCTTGGCAGACTTCCCCTTCTCACCTGCCCGTGGAATTCTCAGATGGTCTAAAAGCTGCCTTTGGGGCTTGGGGCAGAGGGCTGACTTTATTCTACCCCTCCGACTGCTGTGAGGGGAGACTTGTTTTGGCTTCCGGGTGCTGGTTTAAACGTCTAGATCACTAGGCAGGTTCTGGGAACCCAGTGAGCCTGGGAGGATTTGGAGCTGTGCCATGCGGCTTTAAGGAAAGGGAGAAAACGTTTCTCATAGAGAGTTTCAGTGGAAAGCAAAGTGTTTCCAGGAGGGAAACCTTCACTCGTATTTCCTGGGATCGAGAGGTCGGCATCTTCCTGAAGAAGCCCACTGCACTGTCACATCCAGGGGACAGCAAGGGGTAGGTCCAGACTCTCCAGGACAGAGCAGTGTGCTGGGACCCTCCAGCCAGCGGCCGGGTCCTCACCTCTGTGAGTGCGGGGAAGACGCCGCCACTCCCCTTGCCAGGCATGCTGTGCCCTGTGGTGGGGTGCTCATGAGAACACGTCTGAAATGCTGGGTTCCATTCTGTTCACTAACCACCTGCAGCTCCCCTGTGGGAAAGCAGCCAGCCAGGGAGGGGCTGGGCCCTGGTGCCTTGTGCAGCGTATGGAGGACGGGGAAGAAAAGGTGTGTGGGCAGTAGGAACGGAGTCCCGGTGTGCAGTTACTGAAGGGCACAGGGAATGTGATGTTTTGGGTGGCTGTAGAGGAGACCTAGGGCCAATGGGGAACTTGACACAGTGGGTGGAACAAGGGGGATGGGTAAACTTCAGCCCAGCGAAGAAATACGCTTTCATCCCCCAGAGCGGTCCATAAAAACAATGACCTCCCAGCCTTTCAGAGGAAGGCAGCTAGAGAGATGATGAGAAAAAAAACAGAGTTGGGGATATACTCTCTGTGTTTTGGGATTCTTTTGAGTTTTTCTTCCTGGCATACTGCCTGAAAATGTGGCTATTTGGTGTGTGTGGGGGGGAAAGGTGGGGATTGTCATGCATACCTGATTTTTCACTGGTGAGACAAAATTTCCTTTTTTCCGCCAGTCCATGGAGGGTGGGTAGGGACCAGTACCCCGAAGGTAGTTAGCTTTGGTGGCTGAGCAATTCTGAAACAACGAATTACATTTTTTTCAGGGGGAAGAAGAGAAACCGTTTTGATGGAAAAGTATGTAATTAAAGTGGAATCACCAAGAGAGAATAAGAAAGACTGTAGCTGTCAGAACCATCCCACCTCCACCCATTGGTTCCAAATGCTAAATGACAGGTCCTTCTGGGAGCCCAGATTGGGGGTAGTTAGGACAGGGTAGGCGGATTTAGCAAATAAAGATACAGTTCACCCAGTTAAATTTGAATTTCAGATAAATGATGAATAAGTCTGTAGTGTCTGTCCTGTGCAATATTTAGGATATACTTACGCTACAATATTATTTGTTGTTTATCCGAAATTCAGTTTTAAGGGGCAACTGTACTTTCTCCAGCAGCTCTAAGTTTGGGGTCTGCATGAGGCCATGAGCATGGACTGACGAACTGCTGGGAGCTGATATGTCTGGATCCCCCAAGAACCTGGGGGCCCCCCAGCTGCAGCTGCGGAGGGGCCGAACCGCTGTGGAAGCAGAGCAGGCTGTGAGCTGATTCCAAAGGTCTGAGCGAAAACACTCAGATTTGGTCACAATGAATAACGCCCACCTGAGGCTCTGACCAAAGATACTTGCTCTTTAATTCAGCAAAGCTCATGTCTGAAAACTGGTTCGGTCCCACTGAAAAGGAGAAGGAAAAACCATAAACAAACAAAAAAACACAACAGAAATGAGGAGCTCAGTAAGTCACTAACAAAGAGAAAAAATAATGAAAGCCCACGTTCACGTGTGTCCGATTTACAGCCCCTGCAACTTGGCGCCTTTAAAATTTTAAATGTCATGTACAGCTGACCCTTGAACCGCGTGGTTTGAACTGGGCAGACGCACTTACACACAGGTTTGTTTCAATAGTAAATACTGCAGTGCAACATGATCCCAGGTTGGTTGGATCCTTGGATGCAGAACCGTGGAGACAGAGGAACTGGGTATACAGAGAAACCGTGTATATGGAGGGCAGACTATAAATTATACTCAGATTCTCAGCTGTGCAGAGGGTCGGTGCCTCTAACCCCGCATTGTTCAAGGGTCAAGTGTAATTCAATATACCAAGGTCAACCTCACTGTGCTGCAGAATTCCCTGGGGAGCTTGCCTTCTCTTTCTTTCTTTTTTTGTATTATTTATTTATTTATTTTGGCTGCACCAGGTCTTAGCTGTGGCACGCGGGATCTTTGCTGCGGCATGTGGGATCTTTTAGTTGCAGCATGAGGACTCGGTTGTAGCATGCATGCGGGATCTAGTTCCCTGACTAGGGATTGAACCCGGCTCCCCTGCATTGGGAGCGCAGTCTTACCCACTGGACCACCAGGGAAGTCCCGTGGGGGAGCTTTTCCACAGTACAAATGTCTGGGCTGCACCCTGGAGATGCAGACGTAATGGGTCTGGGGTGGGGCCTGGGCACCCATATTTTTAGATACCCCATCAGTGAGTCTGGTGAACGGCAGTGTACAGCACCAGCAGACCTGCGCCAAGTGCCTGCCCACCTGACACCTCCTTCAGTCTTCCTAACCCGCGAGGGGAGCGTTATCCTCTCTATTTTACAGTCAAGTAAAACTTCAGAGCGGGGTCACACAGTCAATACTGGGCAGAAGTGAGATTCAAGCTCTGGTTTCCTTCCACCTCATGCTTTTGCCCACAATACCAACTTAGCTGACACTGCCGTCATTTCTGAGCCCTCAGTATACACGCAGTGTGTGTGTGTTTCTAGTGAAACTAACCCGGAGGGAAGGCAGATGTCCTAAGAGGCTGCTTATGAGTCCAGGGCATGTCTCTAAAGAAGCTGCCCTGACAGCGATCCAGGGGCTTAGCATCTGGGCTGGACTCGCAGATGGCAGGAACAGGGCAGGGCTTCTGTACCCCTCCCGTAAACTTCACAACCATCCAGGGGTACCAGCATTGTCCTAAAGCTACGACCCCTTGAATCTCAGAGAATAATGGCGGAACCAGAATCTGAGGTCAGCCAAGCCCAGCTTCAGAGCCTGGTTTGCTGCTCCGTCCACCCCAAGCCCCTAGTGGGCCCTTTAATCAGTGGCACCACTAATTGATTTCCTTCCCCATCTGAGATGCTCCCTCCTGCCATGGGCGAGAAGCCCGCAGGAAAGGTGTCCCCACGGTACTTTTGAATGTGTGGTTCCCGGCGTTGTGGGCATTGATCTTCCTCCAGTTGCTGACAAACGCCTGCAGCCTGTGGTGGTACTCCTCCGAGCTGTATTTCTTTTGGTGCTGAAACAAAACACATCAGCAATAAGTCACAGAAACAGGATGCAGCTCACCAGAGGGAGACAGTTTTGTTTTCTAAGAGGAGGACTGGAGGTTTTCTTTCTGCCACGATTCTCAGGTCAAATCTGTATCACAGGCAGGACACTGCCCTGGGTCTCTGTGGTGAAAGTCAGGAAGTTACAAAGCAACCCCCCAGCTGCCTCTAGGGACCTGTGGCCAGAATGAAGCCCATGCAGCTGCCAGAGAGTCAGCCAAGAGACCAAGAGGCCCTGGTGAAGGACCTGCCAAGTGCAGGCCACCTCTGGACGCCGCAACTGGTACTAGGTCAAGTTAATGGCAGAAAGCACCATTTTTCAAAAATACGCACACTAGTGTTTTCCAACTGATTTTGCAGCAAGCACACAATGTGACGTGAATACAAAATACAGAAATGAATCTCAAGGCTTGAAAGGCTGCTAGCCAACTTCATCACTGGGGACCACTGTTTGGAAGGAATTCACTTAACTGAATCTTTCCCAGTGCTTGACCGATTCCCAGTTGGGAAAGACCCAGGGAGATGGGGTTGGAAAATCCCTCTTCATTATCTCAAATCCAGCACAGTTTCGGCTGATAACAGGAGACTTAGTGAAGTGAAAAACTTCAGAAAGAAGCTGGACGCTGACCTGCAACATCCATGACTTAAAGTGAAACTTCACTGCAAAAAGAAAAAAGAAAAAGAAAAAAAATTAGGCCTGGCTGTCTTGCAGTAACGTCTATAGCCAAGTAGGGCACAGCAGAACTGATTTGCATTTTAGGGAACTGGGCTAAATTTAAAGCACCAGAAATGGTGTCATCGAATGGTGAACGCGAAGAGGAACTCACTCTTACCGCTTTTGTACTCCAAATTAATTTTGAAAAACTACATGCCGTTAACCTATGGTATTAAAAGTCAGGATAGTGGTGATCCTTAGCGGAGGTACAGAGGGGGCTTCTGGGGTGCTGGTGATGTTCTATGTCTTCATCTGGGTGCTGGTTTCACGAGTATGTTTCGGTTATGAAAATTCATTAAAATGCATATTTAATGATTTGTGCATTTTTCTGCGCTATACTTCAGGAAGAAGTTAATTTAAAAACCTATATATCCCAAGTGTGGGCGAAATTTTGTTAAAGGGACAGATGGTAAATATCTTAGACTTCTCTACAGTCTGTTACAACTACTCAACTCTGCCCTTGTGTGTGAAAACAAAGGGGTGTGACTGTTTCAATAAAACTTTATTTACAAAAAACGGGCTGGCCAGTCATTCGTAGACCCCTGCTATAGCCACCCTTGTACATTTTTAAGTTATCTAAAAACTGCACTTCAAATTTTCATAGCTGCAAAGGGATGTATTCCAGCTTATTGTAAAGAATGACATATAAAAATAAGACTGTTACATCATTCTTTTGAAGCTGGCCAAAAGGATCCATGGTACCATCATGATTTGATATCCACCATCAATAACATGAACAAGCCCTTCTATAAGAGCTGGATATTTTAGATAGTTTCTTTTTCTCCTTGAACTCCCATCTCCACCCACATCTCACAGAATTTTACCCTAAGGGAGTATCTGTTTATACTTGGTCGCTCTAGCATCCTTTTATGCAACAACAAGAACAGAAAGTATAAATTTAAATTACTTTTACTCCCTGTGACCCATATACCTCCGACTATCATAAAAATTTATTCTGGATTAAGTCATCATCATCACCATCATTATTAACACTGATTACAACATGTCAAATATACCTTATGAAAAGGATTTGTTAAACATAAAAAGTAAACTTGTATTGGAAAGGCATCTCTTAATGAGGTGAATTAAACTTTACTAACAACCCCCCTCCCCATGGATTTATATATTCATGGGTGAATATTACCGATTTTCTTGAATGGGTTAGCATTAATTCTGGTCTTTGTCTCAGCCCTTTAAAAGGGCTGAGAAATTCTGCTCAAATAAACAGGATTGTTCATTGCTTATTGCTTCTGGGAACAGAAGGCAATTTTTAGAGCAATGTCACTCAATTCCTTGCACTCCTTCCTACGCCCCAAATCACATGGTGCTCTATTACGCAACATTATTTCTAGGACCCCGGCAGCTGATAACTTCGGTGAGGTCCTCTCTTCTCTTGGAAGTAAAGGGTTTGGAAATAGATTCCCTGTCTGTGCCGGTATCACTTGGAACTTTTTTGTGTTTCCCCACTGATCCACACCCCACAGTTTGAAGATCACTGTTGTATGGAATTTAGGATCGCCCCTTGTGGGTCACAGATCTGTTCCAGAAAGCAAGTGACAGCCATTTTCCCTGGGGAAGAAATGCACATTTCCCCAATATATGCCCTGCGTGGGGTTTCAGAGGATTGCAAATCCTAGTTAAGGCCCTGCTACAGCTGATGGCTTCAGAGGGAGACAGATCTCAACTTAGGACCAGGATTTAAGGCAGATGGAGTTTAGGACAACTGACCAGTGTTTGCCTCCAGAGGTTTCAAAAGCAACAAGCAGGTGTGAAAACCCAGTATTAGTTCTCATTCGCTGGAGGTCAGCAGAAGAAAAAGCCAGGATGATCTTGGGTGAGAAAGATCTCTGGTGACCCTTCACCCCAACCTCAGATAGATCCATTTCAATCCATTGTGACTTTTGGAAGAAAGCACAACATCCTTTATGTACCGCCCTGTCTCGGTGACCACGTGGGAGTATCTAGAACAGGGATTAGCCTGTTTTTGTATGGCCCACGAGCTAAAAGTGTTCACACTTTTAAATGGTTTTTAAAAAATGACATTTTGTAGCACCTTAAAATCATTTGAATTCAAATTTCAGTGTCTATAAGTAAAAGTTTCCGGGAATACAACCCACTTATTCATTTGCACACTGCCTATGGCTGCTTTCAACACAAGTAGCTGCTACAGAGCCTGTGTGGTTCACAAAGCCTGAAATATTTACTATCTGGCCCTTCACATAAGGAAAAGTTTGCCAAGCCCTGCTTTGGTGTTAAGATGGCTTCCAGCACCAGCCCTCCTCCTCCACGCAGGCCACAGCCAGGGTAAAGCAAAACCCCGGCTTGGGGGCAGCTGGGTTTTCCTTAGGTTGGGACTGAGCTGGAGCTGGGCGTCCTCCCAGGTCTGCAAGACTGGGGGACTTCCTTGGACAAATGGGTCGGGAGGAATAAGGCAAGATTCTGGTCGAAAAGATTCAGCCCCAGTGATCTCTGTCCCATCCCCAGGCTGCTCTCTGGCTACAATTCTTTGTCCTCAGGGTGAGGGGGCTGGTGGTCTGCTGAGGTCAGAGCCTGTGGGCAGTGGGCAGAGGCTGAGGGTGGGGAGTGGCAGGGCAGGAGGGAGGCTGCAGGGGCGAGCCTTCAGCTTGGGGAGGTGGCTGGACCCCCAGCAATAGAAGGGGTGTAAGAGCAGCATGAAGCTGGGACACTCACAGTCCACCTGGCCATAAAGGGGAGCCCTGGGGCTGGACCTTACCACCCTGAGCCCTTGGAACAAACACCCTCAGTCTTCAGGGGCTCAAACTGCTATTGCTCTAAGTGCAAGTCACTCCTCCAAACAGCCCGTCCAGCCCATTGTACAGACAGACTCTCAAGGCACCTCTGGGGATCCCCTATGTGCCAAGTCCCTGGAAGCTACTAGGAAAGGCTGGAAAGTCCCTGCTTGCCTCCGGCAGGGGCAGATCAACGTCCTCTAAGTCTCCAGGAGGGGGGTGGAGGGCAGAAGGGGCCGCAGACTGCTGTGGCGTACTAGTCTCTGCAGCGCCCCGAGCAAGGGGGATCCTGGGCACCTAGCCACCCGCTCCTCTGCTCACGCGAGACGCCCGCCCTCCAAACCTCCCCCTCCTCCCGCCCCCCTCCCCGTCACACAGGTCACCCTGGCTGGATCCCGGTTCCCGACCCGCAGAGCCCTTGAGCCTCGGGCCTGGGAAATGCGCTGCCCGGCTGCTCCCGAGCCCAGAGTCCCCACCCGCCCAAGGTCCCCCGAGTCTCCGACCTGCCGGGCCCCTTTCCGGGGGCGCTCGTCTCCGTACCTAGGGAGCTCACTGCCAGGTCGGCGGCGCCGCAGGCGGTGGGGCCCAGGAGCCAGGCTCCGGCGCAGAGCAGCGGCAGGATGGCCCACATCGTGGCGGTGGCTGCGACTCGGCCGGCGCACTGGCTCCGGAGGCCGCCGGGCAGGCAGCCAAAAGCCGCCTCGCGGGGGCGGG